CAAAAAAAAAAAAAAAAGTATAAAGCGTTCTGTGTTTTAAGATATCTTTCTTTTGACATTGAAATCTGAGTATATATGCCCTATATCCATAGTAAGAAAATATTTAGATGTAGTTGATATTGTATTCAATACAGCATGGTATTATACATTATAATAAATATTATGTCTAAGAATATGCTTTTATCATTCAAATGAATAGATAATCTTACTGAATAAAATGTATCAATAAGTGAAATATGTTTATTCAGTCAGTGAAACATACTTCCATTTTGACACTTTATTATGCAATATATAAATAGATAAAATATACATGCAACCTGTATATGACAAGATAAAAAAAGTTCTTTGCAAATCTCCTTTTTCATTCATCACCATTGCCATTTCCTCAGTGATTTAGGAAGATAGAAGATGATACCTTATATATTTGCAATAAATAATTTTGTACAGTAAGAGAAAAAACAGTTACAGGTTATGGTGTTTGGAGTTTCTCAAGGCATAAATAATAACAAAATTCGTTTACCCTAAGATAAAATTATATCTTTTATAGCTCACCTTATCTGTACTGGCTTCCATGTGACCATGTACATATCACTGTATATGAACCTACAGTTTCATTTTCCCTGTGTACAAAAGTTGATTAGACAGCCACAAAAGCCTATCATAAACTAAAACATTCTGTTAAAAAAGCCAAGTAAATTTTACTTTCTTAGTCAAGTAGAAATACATTAACAACTGGTGGTGGTTTAATTTCCTTATAATAATGATCACTTTTTATCCACAAACCACGTATCTTCACATTCACAGAAATGTTCAGGGTCCGTGTACACAAAAATTCATTTTAGTAGTCATATTTCTTTGGCTTTCACTAACTTTCAAATGGTGTGGCTATGAAAATTCAATGGAGATTTCTTTACAAACTTGTTATAAAACAACTAACTTAAAAGATGTTAACTTTTATAATAAAAATTGGCACAGTTCCTATTTTTCCCCGACTTCTTATATACCTAAAGACAAAAACACAGTTAAAAGGGAAGGTTCCCTGACCACAGAGTTTCCGCATTTTTTTAATTTGACTTATGCTTCATAAAGACATTAAATATCCAAAAATATAGTCCATTATAAGGAATCATTAAGCTAAGTACAATTGCCCTGTACTTGTTTATTTGAATAACAGATAATTATCCCACCACTATTGAAACTATGCAGTAAAAACCACAATGCTATGAAAAACCTCACAATCTCTAACAGCAAATTTTTAATTTTATTACTAAGCCTGTGAAACAACAGGGGCTGGTCTGCAGCATACTTAAGGCAGTTGTTCTCGGTACTGGATTATGAGTGGTGTTGAGACTTATTCTGCATGTCCACATTCTCTTTGGCAAGTACATCCAGAACATACTATTCTCATGTTGTAACAGAAGTTAAAAAAAAAAAAGCACAATATTTCAAACTTTCCAAAGCTCAAATGTCCCTTTCTAATTTCAGGATTTCATACAGAAAGTGTTATATCTACATTTCTCTGGATCGTCTTTGTTATGATAGTTTCTCAGATATTCCTATTTTTGATGACCTTAGCAATTTAAACATTTTTCTGCACCTCTCAGTTAGGAGTTTTCTGATGTTTTCCTCCTGGTTAGGTTATAGTTGTATTTAAGGGGTAAGACAACAGTGTTAGTATGTTTCTTATCACAGTACATTCAAGTATCAATATTGGCATAATTTGATGCTAACCTTGATCATTGGACTTGAGTCAGGTTACAATTCTCTCTCTCCATCCAATTATCCAATATTGTAGCACTTTGAAGAAACTGGGAATTATGCTATGTTCCCTTAAGGAAGGATTTCCCTTAAGGAAATCCAATGAATAGAAATGACTTCAAATTCTTCAAAATAGAAAGTTAGTCTGCTTTTCTACAATTATTTATATATTTATTTATTCACATTTTTATGATAACAATATATTAGTAGATATTTTCAACTTGTGATCAAATGCTATTTTATTGTGTTATTCAAATTTTCCCAAGAATTTCATCTGACACTGTTATTATTCCCTTATCTGTGAGTATATCATTTCCTTTCTGATGCTATCAGCCTTGATCTTTAGTCAAAATAGTAAAAAAACACATTTAGTCAAGGTAGTAAAACACATTGATTAACAATAATTTATTTCTCAATGATTAATTCCAATCTAGAATTTTATTATGATGATTGTTTTTGTTTAATGACTGCTGCTTGCTGCTTTTAATTAAGACTTATGTGATTCATTCCACCTTTTTTGGTTGTTATCAGCCAAGTTCTAGCCTGATTCAGTGTTGTATTCTAGCAGGAAGAACTATAAAACAGACACCTCTATCTTGAGCTGGTGGTAACGTGTGCATTTATCAAGTAAGTTCAAAATGCCAGCAGCAAAGATTGATGTTGAGGATATCTAAAGTGACATCAATGCATTATTATGATTATTTTCAAAGGGATTTGGTGGGGAAATCACATTCTAGTCTTGCTTGAAAAGGTGTATGCACCTCAACACTATGTAATCGAAATGTTATTAGGGAGTTATCTATTGAGGTTGGAGTAGGAAATTGTTTTCTATTCTTGACTGCATCATTGAGTTGCTACTCAACCTTGAGAAAAATCACTATCTTTCTTTCAATTTCATTTTTCTTATTTCAAATGAGGACAATGGCTTATTCTGGCAAGAAGTTTGATGATGCTGAGGATGACTGCATAAGGAACACCTTAAGTAGAGAGGCAGAGTTTCAAAGCATTCACCCAGCAGCATGCTTTAACCATAGTGAAGCACACAATCCTTATATTTTAGACATTATTTCTTTTTAATACTTTAAATTGCTTAGTAATGGAAATAACATTTAATTAGCATTAACTACAGTACTACTTGGAAGTAAAAATTAAGAGTATGATGATTTAATCAATAAAGGAACTTTTAATCTTAATCTTATTTCTAATAATGTGTTTTGAGAAAAATTAAGAAATACTATGCAAATTTATATGTAATTAATATCATGAAAATAATACATAATATTAAAGGAAAAGCCTATGATTTTTCTTCTTAGAGAGGATTTGGTGACCAAAAATGAAACAGTACTAACAATTAAAATTTTACTTGGAACTTCTGAACATATATAAATGGATATGTAAAACAAAACTTCCCCTTCTGTACATTTATGCAAAATGAATAGCCTAATAACAACAGTAATCCCAAATGATAGAACACAAATATGAGATAAAGTAGGAAATTTCCAAAAACAGTTCCCTGACCTTTATTTTTTTTTTTTAAATTTCTGAGAGAAAAGTTTATCTGGGTTTCTGGCATTTCTTTGGATTAAAAAAATCACTTTATCAGTACACGTCCAGATTTGGTAACAATTCACCATAATGTTTTAACATCAACCATTAATATTCTATGGCACTAACTCTATGGAAGTCAAAACTTTAGAACATGGAACAGTTTGATACAGTATAATAGGAAATACTGCCCAAGAACTAGTTCTTCA